AATCTGGGAACCATGATTCCCTCTTGAATTCCTAACAACTTCCTCATTTACTTTGTGGAAAGCCTGCAGGAAAAATTTAGACGGAGGAAGGCAGGTTGGTTTATGATTCCTGGCAGCTTTCCACAAAGCTCATAATGGGGGAGCAATCAGGAAGTTGAAAGTTACTCTTGCTCTGTTTTTGTTTTGTTTTTTATTCCTGTGGTCATTCTGTTTCTCTGTTTAGGTAAGGAAATATCTTTGAAACAATGACCCAATAAGTCATGGGTTTTCTAGTAATTACCTAAAAGTCTTCACAATAAAATGAACTACATAAGGCATTTTTAGAATTTGATATCCTGAATATCTAAATATAAAAATAAACACTTGTAATTACATGGAGAAAACCATGTGCTTTCTAGGCAATATTATGAAAATAGTTACCCATTCCCTTCTTCCTGGATGCATATATCCATTTTTGTTTTCAGTTCAGGCCTAGGATTTCTAGTGGTTACTCCTCCTAATAGTAACCAGGTCTGATCCTGCCTATCTTTCTTTTTATAGCAACCAGGTTTGCTAGATGGAAAACAGAATCTATTGCAATATAGATCCTGTAGCCATACAAGGTTAAAACTGACATAAATTACTAATCACTTTGGATTCTTGCAATTTAAAAGTTATTGAATTAGGCACCTCTAGCACACAACGGTTCGCTATCTATTAATAAAACTAATGAGATTTTTAACTCAACAGTAGGCAGAATTTCTCAGACTTTCTAACAGTGCTTTAACTCTTCCCCCAACCTTAACCCTTCCAGCAACTCGATTAAATATAAGTGGCCTATTAATTTGGACACACACAAATGCATTTGTATAAAATTGTTCTGAAGGGTAAAATTAAACCAAGTAATTTATAGACCCTTAGGAGTCTACCTTTTTCAATAAGAGACAAAATAATAGTTTCTTACCATTTTAAAAATATACTACAATTTTCATATTTTAATTTAATCTGCATTTTAATTAACTTTTTAAACAGAGCAGCTCTATACAAAGGTAAGTTTTAATCAGCATTAATATGTTCCTTTAAAAGGGGACATTGGATTTGAAGATATATTTTCTTAAGGGGCTCCATGTTTTAAAAATAATTTGAAAGAAGTGCTTTGGGCCTTATGTCACAGCAACTATTTTTATGTTACTCATTAAAAGAGATGGTGCTGGGATTTTTAATTTTATTTCCCAAACTTCTAAGCCTGAAAAAAGGATTTTTCTACTTTTAACAAGTTGATTCAGCGACTCAATATTTATCAATTTATTCAAACACTTGAGGAAAATGTTTTAACAAATAAAATTATGTTTGCACAAAATCTGTTTTTCCAACATTTTTAAAGACCACAAAATCTTATTTGCCAAACGATGTCATTGATATCTGTTGGTACATTAATTCCTAGAATATTAAACCACTATGGTTTCTTAATTATGAAATTCCAAGAATTTCATCTTTTGGAGAGTAAATAAATTAAAATTTTACAGCTGAAAATAAAATATTTTTCCATGGAAGACAGGAACAGTTATTTTTAATTTTGCTTTGTAAAGTACTTAACACATGATTATAAATGTAAGAAACAATTATTTGAGAAATAATTACGCAATGTATATATTGTTTCCTAACAGATGATAACTGAAAATCCTTGCACTGGATCTACAGTAGGCATAGTGGTTTGTGAAGATGAAGGCTTCCCTCCATTAGTGAAGGGAATCATCATTGACTCCAGAGGAAAACTGGAATGAAGGGTTTTCTCGTTTTCATTTTCCAATGCCACATAGACACGTCATACTGTAGGGATCCTTAATTTTACCGTTCATCATTTAAGTTCATCTGGAGAAGAATCAACCAGAAGGACAAGTTGAACTTTGACAAAGCAAGGTAGGAAGAGTATGAATGCTTTTGAACTTTGATGTTGAAGACTCTTGAGAATACTTGGACAGTTAGGAAAACAAACTGAAAATTGATCAAATCAACCCAAAGTTCTCACTGGAGGCACTTTTATTTATCCTATTTATACAAATACCAAGCTTTCTGGAGAAGGCTGGGATGCTATGAAAGATGGAAAGAGAAGAAGGGGATGCCCAGCCGTAAGATGTATGGACTCAGTTACAGTGGCAATGAGTGCACCATTGGAAGACCTAAAGGACCTGGTTAGGGACAGATCATCAGAAAATCCCTCCATCCTTCCATGCATGCAGGAGTCGATTACAACATGGTGATAAAAATTGGCAAAAATGTGCCTTCTCACAATTTCCTCTAGTCTAATACTTTGTCCATAAAACCAGGGAGATTCATTTCTGAAAGGCCAAACTGTGCGCCAACTGTTTTTAATCAATAGCACACTATAAAAGAAAACCGTATAAAAGGTCTATTCTACCTCAGTGCTCCTCAACCAATAGTAAGTATACTACTGTTAGTGTGCAAAAGTAATATAGATGGAATGTAACTTTCTCCCCCGAGAATCTTGTAAGCAAATCAATTTTAGGGTATTTCAAGAGGAAAACCTGAATATTGAGTTTTCTGTAGTCTAAGACAAGAGTGCACTCTGAAAGTTTTGGATTCAAGAGGCGCAAAATAAAATGCTATTTAGAACGGCTTAATTTTCATTATTTGTTTTTCTGTATTGATGTTTGTATGTATGAGAAAGACTATTTAGATTTAAATGTAAATTGATCCAATAATTAGTACTTCAGTCCTAATTAGCTTTTATTTTAAGATGTAATAATAAAAGAACATATTGTATTCTTAAAGCTGCCTATAACTGATAACAAAAATAATGTGAGAATATGCATGCTCAGAAAAGTTTATTGTTTTTGTTTTGTTTATTCTGGTTGAATGTAGATTCATAACAAAGGCAGGATAAAATAAGTAATAAATAAATTGGTGTAACTTAGAATATGAAAGATTGAAACCACTAATTTAGTTAACCCAGCTAGCCACATTTTAGCCTTGCATATAATATGAATCCAGCCAGTTTGATTAATTTATGGATAACCTGAAGGCCAACTAAATAAGCCCAGAAATTCTAGGAACAAGGTATAAAGCTGTTATTTTTCATATGATGGCATGTATCTCTACCATTCCAAACCTTTAGGAAGCTTTGGCCCTTTAATTTCCACATAATCTAACAGTATGATAAAGTAGGATCATGCTACATTAAATGTCCATTAAATATAGTTTTACGACTTAATATAAACTGAAACTACCGAAAGCAGAGAGTTAATTCTTTTTGGAGAAATCTACATGTGCATGGTCATTACTCAGGCTTTGATAATATCAATTGGTTGCCATATCTGAAATACCTAAAGGTAAAGGTTCCCCTTGCACATATGTGCTAGTCGTTCCCGATTCTAGGGGGCGGTGCTCATCTCTGTTTCAAAGCCAAAGAGCCAGACTGTCCAAAGATGTCTCTGTGGTCATGTGGCCGGCATGACTAAACGCCAAAGGCGCATGGAATGCTGTTACCTTCCCACCAAAGGCGGTCCCTATTTTTCTACTTGCATTTTTTACATGCTTTCGAACTGCTGGTTGGCAGAAGCTGGGACAAGTAATGGGAGCTCACTCCATTACGCGGCACTAGAGATTTGAACCACTGAACTGCCAACCTTTCAATCGACATACCTATTGAAATACCTATTACCGTACAAATAGAACTTTCATTAAATATATTTCAAACACAGTGGTGGAAATTATATGGATAAAAAACTAAGTGAACAATCAAATGTGAGAAGGACTCTGTAGTATATATTACAATTATAATGAAGCTTTTACAAATGAGAAAGTTTAGTCTTCAAATGAATTGTTCTAAGGCAGGATGCATAATCTGAGGTCAAAGATCATATACAGCCTCTGGAAGTTTTGGGTATGGTGTGAGAGACCTCCTAAGTTCTTAGACTTAAATGAAATGTGTTGGCCTAACCATTAATTGGACTACTTGCATACCATTCAAAAGCTAAATGCAATCCTTGGTTTGGAAAGTTTAGACCAGGCCATTCAACTTGTAGACGGGAAAGAGCCACACTGAGAAATTAAAAACCATTGTGGACTGAAAGGAATATCTGATGGGTGGCAAGGGGAGGGCTAGAAACACAGTAGGGGCAGCAGTGAATTTATTGACATTTTACAAAATGAGGGAGGACGGCTCAAGGCTGCTTGGGAGCTTCAGGTTGTACAGACCTGATTTGGACCCTTCTCATCAGAGGGCTTCCATCTTGTCTTTTGCTATGCTGTGCTATGCTATGCTACCCCCAGTGTCTCTGCCTCCTGAAGTCAGGCAGGCAAAAGTGTTGCATTGTCAGAACCTTTCATCTTTAAAAGTTCCTCAGATGGCAGGCATGACTTTACTCACACCCTCTTTGGTTTCCACTTTTCCCCTCAGCTCAGTAGTGGGGTTCAAGTAATTTAACAATCGGTTCTCTGCCCTAATGATTTCTTCCAACAATCAGTTTGCCAAACTGCTCAGAAAGTTAACAACCGGTTCTCCTGAACTGGTGCGAACTGGCTGAATCCCACCACTGCCTCAGCTGAATTACCATTTACTGATTGCAGAAATCATTTTATTTAGACATTTTATAATTGAGAGAGAGCCTATTGTTTCATGGAGTCCATAGGTCTGTTCAAGCCGGTTCATTTTCCCAATTAGATTTCACTTTCAAAGGAAAGTCAGACCAGAGAAAAGGAAACACAAAAAGCTGTTTAACAAAGATCTACTTTTTTGGGACCGGCTTATCAGAAGTGGTTTCACAAGACATAACACAAGAGAGGCTGTATTCCCACAACATGCTTAACCGGGGAATAAACCACCATCGGCTGGCTACCTTCAACCTGCTAAAACCACCAATCGAAACGCCTGGCTTCGCGTGGCACGCCAACGCCAAGCGCCGAGCAACTGCCCTTTCCCAACTTCCCCCTCGAGGTGCCAAGGCCTCCGGGTCCGTTCCCGGCGCCTTCCGTGTCCAGCGCCCGGCCTTCTCCTCTCAGACGTTACCTTGACAAGCAGCCGCTGACCTCGCGGGGGGGAAATAAAAAAAGCCTGCAGCGTGGACCACCCCTGCGTGACGCGCGGAAGGAGGCGGGCCCGCAGAGCGGATGGACACGCGAGGGCAGCGTCTCCCTTCACTTGTTGCCTGAGGCGTCGAGCGAGCCTCCAAAGATGCCCCGAGATGCTTTCCCCGTAGAGGCTGCGGGGAGTGGGCGAGGGGCTGCTGGCGAAGGTAGGACGCTGTTCGCGAAGGCGCCGTGTTGTTTGGTAGCCTAGGCAGCACCAGCAGCGCCGCTTTCCCCCGCCCCCCTTATTTTAATTCAATTCTCCCCGTCGCCGTCCGGTTTACAACGCTGCCCTCCCTTCATTTGCAGTTGGGCAGAACCGGGGTGTCTAGGTGTCCGCGAGTGGCAGCCGCTCAGTTCTTCTTTTGTTTTCCCAAGTTTTGCCTAGGCTTTGCCGTTCGTGTCCTTTCTGCATCCCCTTTCATCTCCCCCCCCCTCCCACAAAGCAATAACTTTCAATAACTTTTCAATGGCGAAAGGTGATGTAAATCGGCTTTCTTCCGAAGTGCGGCCTTCACGACGCCTTGGATTACCAAATCCCATAATCCCCAATCAGCCACATCCGACAGCTATTTTGGTTTGGTGTGATAGGAGTTGGAGTCCAAACTAGAATGACAGGTTGACGAAGAGTAACAAAGTACTCGATAAGTTTTAAATGAAGTTGAGAAGCACTAAGAACCATGCTTTGGACTACAGTAATCGGTCTTTCCATTTGTAAAGCAATATTGTATGAGCTGACCAAAGGCTTGTCTAAACCATCATCCTCTCCTGGAAAAACCATTTACTTTTATCTGTTTTCTTTTCATCAGTTTATACACATTCCCTTTTTTCTCTTTTCCAATTTATAGATGTGGAAAATCAATTTGCTGGAGAGAAAACCAATCAGGGTTTGCATTTGAGATGTTGCAGCATCATGTGATCAAAATTTGGGCACTTGGCAACTGGCATGTATTTACGACAGTTGCACAGTCCTGAGGTCATGTGATTACCATTTGTAACCTTCCCAGCTAGCTTCTGACAAGCCAAGTTAATGGGGAAAGCCAGATTCACTTAACAACTGCATGATTCACTTAACAACTGGAGTAATTTGTTTAACTGAAAAAAGATCATAAAATGGGGTGCAACTCACTCTTTAACTGTCTTGCTTAGCAACATAAATTTTGGGCTTAATTGTTGTCGTAAATTGAGGATTACCTATATTTTATCTAATCGTATCTGAGAAATGCCATGCATTTAACTCTGGTTTGTTTCCATGTTCACAGTTTATTAAGAATGATTATATGAATGAGTAGGGAAATAAGGGGAGGTAAAGAGACTGTGAACTATTTAGTGAAAAATAATTAATTTGAAATGTAATGCTTTTAGTTTATGGTCAAAGAAATTATCAAAAAATGTAAATTAATCCCTGCCCCAAGTTAGAGAAACATACACAAATGTATTGTTTAATGTAGTTGTGTTATTATAATCACATTTAGCTGAAAGCACAACTCATTAAATACAGCGGGCTTTCAGAACAGATCTGTAAGATTCTGCTGTGTTCCACTATGAATGATAGTCTACTTTCTGCCTATTTAATGTCAAGTTTCTACTGACTCCTATTTCTAGGCGTTTGATTGTCCAATTGTGTCAGGGAGTTGAATGGTTTCTTGTAATCAATCCAAGCTACATTCAAGTTGGTCTTCCTTCTCTCGCAGTTTTCCAAACTCGTTTTGTCAGTTAGGAGGAGTTGATCATTTGTTCCTCTGCTGTGTGGGCAATTTTCTTTCTGCTCAGGTGGAAAGGGGTTGTTTTCAGCTAAATGCTGTTGAACTTTATCAGCTACATACTAGTTAGCAATTTGAAAGTTTTTGGTAAGCAGATAATTGGTCTGTAATTGCCTCTGCTGCCCCTTTTGCTGGATCTTTTATTATCATGTAGGTTCAATCAAATGTTAACCAATCTTCAATTTCTCATCTTTGTAGTATGTTGTTAAACTGCTTGGCAACAAATGGATTAGACAAGTCAGATGTTTCACCAAAAAATCATGCAATTCATCTCCACCTGGTGCCGATCAATTCTTGATCTTCGTCTTTTTCTCTACTATTTCAGTTATTCAGTTATTACATGTTACCGGTATTTCATTTCACCTTTTTTATTTTTATCTTCCTCCTTTATCCAAGCTGCATTCTTATTGTATCTCTTTGGGTTGTCCCATTGTTGCACCCAGAACTACATTGTTTCTTCATTGTCAGGTGTTTAATGATTCACTGAAGCTTCTCCATTGTGGTTTAGTAGAAATGTTTCCAATTCCATTGAATTTGAATATTCTGCCTATAGTATTCAGTTTGAGATTCATTATGATTATCTTCTTAGCTAATAAAGCTACAGTTTACATGGCAGTACCTGGAGACAGCAGAATAGAAAAGAAAAAAATGGAGAAAATCTTAAAACACAAAGACCTGCAAATAGAATTAGAATGATTGACAAGAGGAAGCAAAATAGTACCAATAATAAGAAGTGTCTTGGGTGCAATCCCAAAACATCTGGAACACCACTTCTATCCACTGGCATTGACAAAATCATCATCAGCCAACAGCAAAAGGCAGCTTTACTTTGAAGAGCTTACAATCTGCTACAATGCCTTTAACACCAATAGACAACAACCAACTGTCTCTCCCAGGTCGTTGGGACGGTTTTGATAGGTGATAAAAATGCCAAAGACATTTGGTCGACTGTGACAAATTGTAATAATAATCAAAGAGCATTAATAGCTCCTTATCAAACTGGGAATAATAATTTAATCTTTACCACAAATTTGAGTAATATTCATTTTTATTAATGACTTAGATGAATGAATGCTTATCAGATATCCAGATGATGTAAAATTAAGTGGGGAAACAAATAAAAATTTAAACAATATGGATGGGCTGCAATTTTGTACTTCTGTATAAATCGTTCTCTATTTTGCATTGATCATACAAACTCCAAACTGGGTATTATATTTTAAGGGAAAAAATGTAGAGAAGCACAATGAAGTTGATCTGGGGGCTAAATTTTATGTGTAGAAATGGTGGTAACTTTTAACTTTGAGAAAAAATGACTATTTAAAGAGAAATCATATAAAGACAGATCAATACCTATTCTTGCTTGCTCAGTTTCGGATCAAAGAAGAATGGTCCTAACATATGAGAAGGCAGAGGCCAACTGAAAGTAAGGAAAAACTACTAAAGAGCAACTATGGCAGTGGATCAAGAGAGTGCTTCCTATGAGCTTCTTCAGTGGATATGCTTAGGTTGAAACTGGACTAAGAATCATTAGATTAGTGTCACCTTTTAATAACCGTAGAGATAGATCCTCTCCAGGATCTACAGCATTCATAAATGTTATAATAGAGTCTAGTTTAAGATGATTAAATGCCTGGAGACAAAAACATATGAAAACAGTTGCAGGAATTGGATATTTTAGAGAAAAGGACTTGTGGGGACATGATAACAGTATTGCAGTATTTGAGGGGCTGCCACAAAGAAGAGGGGGCCAAATTATTTTCCAAAGCACCAGATGGCAAACCAAGAAACAACGTATAGAAATTAATTAAGGAGAGAAGCAATCTGGAATCAAGGAGAAACTTCCTAACAGTGAGAACAATTAACCTGTGGATCAGCTTGCAATCAGAAGTTGTAGGTGTTTCATTACTGGAGATTTTTAATAAGAGATGGGACAGCGACCTGAATGAAATGGTATAAAGTCTCCTGCTTGAGCAGGGGGTTGGACTAGATTCTAGATTCTTCCAGTTTTATTTTGATTGATTAAGCCTTGTTTTTTCTTTTCTTCATTATAGACTTCTCAAGGGTCTTCAAATAATGTGTTAAAATATGATATTTTGAGTCCAGTTATTTGTGCCCCAGCTGAAAATTCTGCATCATTTGTTCTATGGTCTGTTTGGTGGTTTTCATGGCTTTCTCTGGTATCCTTAAAAGTCGTATGCAATAACAAAGTTCAAATGTGTTGATATTTGTTCTGACTTGTTTTTGTAAGTCCAACTTTTGCATATATAGAGTCCCACAACAAAAACCATAATCTGGAAAATTCTGATCTTTGTAGGTATAGAGAATTTTGGATTTTGAATATTTTTCCAAGGCCTTCATTACTACTTTACAAATCTGTTGTCAGTTAGACAATAGTTTTTAATTACTAGATCATTTACAGTTAATGGTTAATCCTAAAAGCTATCTCCCAGTTTAATATCTTCATTATCAATTCTGACACTAGTTGCAATACCTGTTATTATTTAATCTTGATATATAATTGTAGTCTCATTCTTTTTACTGTACTCCTTGATTTTCATTAGTATATGTTGTAGATAATTTGCATTTTAGCTATCAGCTATTTCTTGCTCTGAATTCATATTTCTAAACTGAGTAAGGTGTTGAATTTATAGGCGCAGTTCTGTGGCACAAAGAACACCTTGAAAACAAAATTATAGAAATTATGCCCTTTTTAAAGAAGTCTTTGGGAAATCTAGCCCTGATTTTTTTCACAAGTTGACTTTAAAATACAAAAGCTGTATGTTGGTACACCTGTGATTTTAATAATTCCCTGACTACTCATATTTTAGTGGAGTTGATACTGTGCACATCTCTTCTTAGATTGATAGTCTTATTGACTGCTGAAGATGATACAGGATTTGAACTAAGATGAATTTTAATGAAACATTTAATTCTACTTTGAAATGCAAAATATCCAATTAAGCTATTTTCCATAAACTACTAGATTGCAGCAATGTGATTGCATGATGAGTAAAAGGGAAGAGAACATTCCAACTGTTTCAGTTTCTGCACAAATAAGACCATAAATAAGAGGATGAACAAAAGACTGAACTTAAATAGTACTGCTCAAAAGGTACAATATTTCTTTTTAAAATATTTTAAAATCTGATTTAGAAAATAAGGTATTCCTTTTGGTGTCTTGTATTTCACTTGTTAGAGTATTATCTATTAGTATGTACTGTAAGTACCACAGTTCTTTAAACAAGATATTTTTTTAAGCAACTAGCTAAGCAATTTGATGGCAAAGATAACAGGCGTACGTAATGTAAGAAATCAAAGTAATTTATACTGTTTTATGTATATGCTTTCCTCTAAATAGAATTGAATGGTGAAAAACACACAAAGGATATTTAAAGCTTTTA